GTCTCAAGATTAAGTGGTTTTTAAAAACCATTACCTTTTTAATGTCTGCAGATCGCACTGTTCCTGACACTAATATACTCATGCCCGGAACAATCTGCATCTAATTTGTATTGTTACTTATCTCTTACTGCCACAGAAGTGCATTCAGTGGACAAGTCTGAAATTTGCCATTATACATCCACACGAAGGGTGCAGTGTCATCCTGAACTAGAATTCCACTGCCATTTACCTCTTTTTTTGGCAATGAAGAGTACTCAATGCCGAGGCTATAAGAAAGCAAGAGAAGGCATTTGGTTTATTGATGATTTTCCCTGTTAAATATTTGTCTGCTTACTAGCACTCCCATGGGTCAAATATATAATACGTGGGACAGTGTTTAATCAAGTAAGTGGTTCCTATGAATTTAGCAGGCAATTTACATGTGATATACAACAAAGTAAAGGGAATACTTACATTCATCTTGCATAATTAAAACACACACGTAAGTCTTTCCCAGGGCTAGGATGATTGTAGCTACATATTTCCTTGCTTCCCTAGTGAAAATATGGCTTTCCCGTATTTACTTTTCTCTCTATTTTGTGTCTTAAGACTGCGCACAAGTAATCAACTGGGAACAAAACAGTTTCTCTGGGTTTTTGGTATTGACCTTGTGGACCCATGAGTGCTGCAATTAAAAGAGAAGGGGGCTTTGCTCCCTGGGTCACTGGAAGTAAGGCCAGATTTTTGTTCTGCGTCCAAGTCCAGTATGTCATCACACATGAACAGGAGAGGTTAAAAGGGCATATTTTTAAGGATTTCACTGTGCAATTGCTGCCTGATTTGTATACACATAATTTCTCTAGTCAAACATGCAAATTTAGCAACTATGCACTTCAAATGGTTCCTTGCAACTTTGAAATTTTAAAATATATACTTAATGTATAAATAGTCAGATGAGTAAGTTGCTATACCCACACTCATAGCAGTTAATGCTATTAATGTTATTAGCTAATGCTAACCCAGTTAATGCTGAAATTAAATAGTTTTCCTAAATGAAGCTAAATGAAAACATCTGAATTTTCATGAAAAAAATGAGATTTGCAATTAGAGAAAACTTTTGTTGTTTGTGCTACAAAAAAGATGAGTAGATATACTAAAAAGATCAGGTAACTTTCTCTGGTCAGATATCGTAACAGCCATCACCCTTTCCAATTTGTAACAACAACTCTGTCCTTCTAAGGATGCTTTCCTTAGACATTTTTAGTGCTTTTTAAGTATTACCAATTAAACTTTGCAATGCTGAGATCACCAGAAAGCAAAAACTGGTGATGGAACCAGGGAGAATTGCTGAAGCACTTTGGTTGACATGCTTACTTGTATTAAAAATTGGCTAATGCATTGGGGCAATACCTCATAAAACTGCAAGCAGCATTGAAATACTTATTTAGCCAAAGATTTCAAATTTAATGTCGAATCAAAGACACATCTCCGAGCAACACAATGTCTTCAAAACCTATACCAAGTGCGTTTGGCATTAATGTAGTTCTGACTCAACAGAAAGAGTGCCAATTGACACTGACAAAGAAAAAACATTTCTCTTCAGCAATTAACTATTTCCAACAGTGAAGCTGCCACAGAACATTCAACAGTTTATTATCTGAGATTTCAGAAGTAATGCTTGCTTTTAGTTTTTTTGCTATAAAGGGGAATAGCTTTACTGGAAAATATGAAAGCATTTCAGATTTTTAAAAAATCCCAGTTTTTCTGTCTTGTTGACAGTGCTTAGAAAATGTGGGTTGACTTGTTTTTGATTGCTGTTTAAATAACACATTAATTTAATAATCGTTGGGATATTGAATAACAACAAATTATGGGTTGGGACAGCCAAACCCTGACCCTAATGACATTCTTATGTTAATCCTTATTTTCTTTTAGGCTCCTGCTTTCTTAATAAAACCTATATTTTTGAAAATCGCTTTTAAACATTGCAAATTATTCCAAAGTAGCATTTATTTTTTGCTAGTAAGGGATAAGTTTACATACAGAGAGTGTATTTTATATGTCTGTATACATCTAGTGCCTGACTCAAAGTCCGCTTAAGTGCGTACATGCCCTTCCATTGATTCTCAGAGCTGATTCTCAGAGCTGGCTGAAAAGGTGAGACGGCTATTTATGAAGTAACTACTATGTAGTCCTTCCTACTGTGTGACTTATTTGTGAGGATACTTTGATTTAAATCTGAGCACCCATGATTAAAAATTATGATTGCAAACTTTGATCAGAAAAAGGCTTAGTTTTCATAACTACAGTCAGTAACGGTTCCTCTCGGTAACTGTGACGTGCAGAGTATTTCTATCAGATCAGTAACAGCACACCCAGGATGGAATAAGACTGAGCCTCTGACTCTCACTATGTGACCTTGTTGACTATGACTTTGTTAGCAATAACACAGTATTTGTGCTCCAAAATGTCTTATCTAAGTAACATTATATGGTTTCAATTAACATCAGTCATCATTTTTACTTCTACTAAGAGACTGCTTTTAGTCTCCTTTTTCAGACAAGGGCTCTGTAGTCATGCCTGCCACTGCTGGAACAAAAGATACTGACTTGAATGACTAACTTGTGACAAACTTTCTTGCAGCAGAGTATTTGCACAACTTCTGTTTGCAAACCCGTTCACAACATACTGACTTTTTCAGTGTCTTTCAAATAGGTTTGCAATCTTAGAGTGGGTATATATTCAGCTAAATATTTACAAATATATTTCTCTATTTGTGATCAAGATTTGCAAGTATATATCATAAACAGATTAATCTACAACATGGTCCAAGGAGGGCACAGAAAATAATCCCACTGACTCAAAGGGATTTGACTCGAGAGCCTAGTACGCAACAGATGCTGTGCAGATTAACCATCGAACGCAGTGTCAGTTCAAGACTCACTGTATGTAAGGTTGAACCCTAATTTTGACTGATTGAGCCCATGATTCTCAAATTACAAGTATTAAGCAATACACTTGCTTGTAAAAATATCTATCGGTAGTGAGGCCATGAAACAGAAAACTGGGTCAGAAGATGTAGGTCTACAAAGGACTTAGGGTCAAATTCCTTAGCTGTTCTGCGGGAAATTGTCCTGGGTTATAACAAAAATATTTGGAAGCCAATGCAGTCTGCAATCTTAGATGCAATTTGTAGATTGTTAATGACAGTGGGTAAACGGTATAACGAAGAACTTTCCCATGAGAATCTAATAGTTCTTCTGGATTATTTCTTTAGGTTTTGCCATTGCTTGTGGAGAAAAATAATGGGTGCCTTGAGATCAGTTTGTAACTTACAGGGTTTTCTTTTATTTTTTTGTTCCACTGTGGAACACAAAATGTTTTTCTATGAAAAAGATCTTAGCGCATTATTTTTGAAATACTATAATTTTCACTAAACTCAGTTTCCAACTCAGTGCTGTCCAAGTATTGCAGAATTGTGTTATTTTTGAAAGTTATTTCCTTTGACCTGAAGTTACCTAAGAAGACAGACTGAAATCTGCATTCCTTTGAGAAAACCTGGTCCCGTTAAATTAATCTTCTTTTCATGGAATCATGTCTGTTTGCAAAATTTAAACGTAAGTGATGTATGATAATTTGTTGCACAACTTCTCAGTAATCTTCTGCTAAGTGATCACAAAATAAGGCTGCTTGAATTCTACAATGCTGGCATGAAGGACTCATAGCAGTGTAACATACATTGTATTTGATATGTCAAGTGGAAAAGTCACTGCTTGATTCTGTTGAATTTGTACTTTCTGGGCAGTGAGACCTATTGTTACATTTAAAGGGTTCCCTAGGATCAATTTACAAAGCACTTTCATACTTCTATCCCACAAAGCCATATAAAAAGAATTACTCATACCAGACATTAATAAATTCCTTATAATTAAAAGTTGGTCAGCAGCAAATTAAAAGTGAATATTAGCACTTAGAATATACACTCCAGTGTACTTACTCCTATTTCTTGTTTTAAAACAATGAAGATATTGAGGAGGAAATTTAGGAGCAAGTCCAGAAGCACACCTATTGACTTGAAAGAGAAGAAGTTTTCACCTTTATTTGCTAATTGCATATCGATTTAGTCTGGAAAGGGACAGCTGTAACAATTTTTGTTTAACTTATAAATTTTTCCTGACATTTATATTGATAGGCAAATTATTGCTGTAAATACTAATCTCTTTTGTGATGATGACCTCCCAGCATAAAGGCAATCCAGTTAAGAGACTTACTGAAGTAGAGAAATTTGCATAAACCATACCTATGCAGTTCTTCAGTTAAATTGTACCATAACTACAGTAAAAACGTCACTGCACATAGGCACTAAATGCAGAGAAAAAACTTTTTCAGTATGAAAGAGGAAAGCTAGACTGAAGTCTTTCTCTTCTTTTAACCTTGTGAGGGACAACTTCACAGTAGCGCTGACCGTAGAACTGACAAGGTTGCAGCACTGACATGTGAGATTTGTTACTATTAACTCAGCTCCCCAGCACTGAAATTTTGGAGGACAGATTTAATCCTCTCCCACTCTTTCAGCCTCACAATTCTAAGAAGGAAACACCGTTTGGCATTCAAGTAAAACAGCCAGATCTCACTGTACCACAAGGGAACTTCTAACCTAGCCAGCAGGGTTTCGGTGCCGTATAGGAGAGCTAACAGCACTAACCTTTTTGCATCTAAATCTTTACAGAATATGCCCTTAGCATGTATCTAGGAAAAGTCTGAAAACATTCATTATTCTCTGAAATTAGCATAAGCCTCTACTGCTTTTACCTTTTTTGGTAGAAAATAATAGGCACTCTTTAATTTAAGAGTATCAAACTTTTAAATGACCCCTGTAATAACAGAAATGACACCCTGATAGAGGTCATTATCTAAGATAAAACATAACAGACTTGTATGTTCTTCAACACAACCTTGAATAATTCAGTTTTACTGCTTTGTCACAAACAGTTGTATAAAAAAAAATTGAAAGGGCTTACTTGAAACAGTCATCGCAAGCAATATTCCCCGTGGTCTCCTTTATAGTGCGTTCGGAAACAAAAGCTGGATATTCAGTATCACAGGGCTCTAGGGTTTGTTTCAACCTCTGCGCTATAGGCACAGAAAAAAATATCTTGATGTTAACATGGGAAGAACAGCACACAAAATTCTGAACAACATGAGATGCTGTATTACAGAGCTCACAGAGAACGGAAATGTTACTCAGCTTCTGCCACCCTGTGAGATTTCCTAGGCAGTGCATAACACTATTTTTTCAATTAAAAAAAAAAAAAGTTTATCCAAGGAATGTAATTTTGTAAGATATAACTGTTAGTTATTCATGGTTTAGGCATCACCAACCTACTTTACATTTATGCACAAGCTTTTATTCTTTCTCTGTAGATTCAAGATGGACTTACTGTCATTTTTATTTCAGTGATGCTGTACATCACTATTATGTATGGGGGTTTACATTTATTTGATAACCAAATTGTGGTACATTTAACTGAAGCCAAAACACTTTTTTGGATTACAGCTTGGGGATCTTTGCAGAGTTTCATCAGTTAGACTAATTCTGTGGGTGAGGGGCAGAAGTGTTACTTTGCCGAGAACTACTGCTTGTAATCTGCTTCCCAAAATAGTAATAATTAAGACTCCGTAGCACTTTTAATCTGAAGCCTTTGCAGTGCAAGGAGAAAGAAAGTGTCACTACTTGCGTTTTAAAGATTGGTAAATTGAGGTAGCAGGAAGCAGTGAGACTGGTTCAAGGTCAAACTACAGGACAGCAGCCACGCTGGGAACAGAAGGCAGCTCTTCTGTCTCTCACACTGATGTATCTGTTGGACAGTGTGTCTCCCTCATTCCCTTTCTTTTTCCTCACCACCCCTTCATTCCTCCTTAACAGGGAGATGCACTTGCACATCAGCACAAATGTTAAGCCTATCTTAAACTAATTGCTAAGTGAGAAAACAAGACGAGGTATGACAAAAATAGATTACACTAAACAGGCTCTTGGACCCGACAGATCTTCCATTCAAGATAATCTGTTTCAGCGCCCGTGGTGTATCTGTTGCACACTGCCAGGGGAATAAGCAAAGCTGCATTCGCAGTCACGCACTAGGACACGCATTTCTGAACTGTTCATAATTTTTGTATGTAATTTAAGAATATTCCCCCAAATGCAAAGATCTCAAGGGACGTACTAAAGTTGGTCAGAAAAGTTTTGTTATTTCTGATACTTTCATGACATATTTAACAATTTAACATTTTCTTAAGAATTGTCTGACTATCTCTACTACACTTTCTCCCTTTCTCTTCTGTTCTCCTTATCTGTTGCCAAGAATGACTGAAATTTATCACCTGTATTTTGGGTCTACCCTCACTTGTATCAACATATGGCTTGTGTAACAAAGAGACTGCCAGAGATCCATGGGTCTCAGATTTCCAGCACCTCGTTAGAGTCCAGAAAATGATGGGGTTGCCCAAGGTTTAGGGCATCAGTTTCTTCTCTCTCATTTGCAAATGCGATTGAGATTACAAGACCTTGTGCAGAAGTATTTTTCATATGAAGTGGCTGGTAAATTGGCAGGTGTGTGGGGACCCTCCACACCAAGGACTAAGACCGGCATACCTGCCATTCTTCTTCAGATATAAGGAACAGTTTTGCATTTTCTGGGTCTAGCACAGCAAACCCTACTGTACTTCACAGCCATCAGTGTAGGAGACATTCTTCACCATAGTTAGGGAAATCACTGGAAAGTTAGTCTTGGTTTTTAGAACCCCTGTCTAGGCACTGCTGATTACGAAGCAGCCCCACAAGCAAATAGTGTCTGGCTGGTTCTCATGAAGCTCTATCTGTGCATGTGCATCCAATCCACATCGGGCTCATTGCTCATGTAACAGAAGAATCGGCTCCAGTGTTGCCGTGCAGCATACAGCTTACATCAGTGTGGGAAAGGCTATACTAAGTTCACCATCTAGATTTCTAGAAGGCCCTTTATCAGATCGTCACCTGCAGCAGACACCAATCTCCGCCTCCCCTTCTGCCTACACAGCATTTACAGCACGTTGGGCAGTAGCCTGACACGTGCTTTGCCGTTTGCTGCCATACTTTCTGGTTGTTCCAGGACAGATCTTTCTGCTAGAAGGGCTCCAGCATCTTATTACTACTGGCGATACTGGAATATTCCAGGGCATCGGTATGTTCCGTTTTCCCGACACCTTAACTTCAGACAGGATATTATTTTGGCCTAAAGACAGCCTAGTATCCAGGCAATGCAAATATAAACTGAAGCCCGAAGTAGCAATTTCATCCCCTGCTTTGCTAAGGAATATGCAAATCTGCAAATATGAGGCTGAAGAATGTAATTTAATCGTTATACCAGTAAATGGCACGCAGAATAATTTGCCTATGAAATAGCCAACTGAAGAGCACTGCTCTTGTAAATTAGCCCTTTACTTTTGAGAGCACTTCTGAAATGCCATAAAAAGTCTGCTAAAATAGAAGAGATAGCTGACACTGCAGAGTTCCAATTCTTATGGGAACTGTTAAAATTTCATTATTCTTTCAAACGAAACCTGCACATTTAAAAAAAATTATTTTGAGTAAATTGAATCTTAATTAATCTAGCTTTTATTACTTTAAAATATATATTTTGGACGGAATGATAAAACAAAATGCAGTTTTAAGCAGTCTTGTTTAAAAATAAAGCATAAAATTTACTAACTTAAACCTTAAAAATTATTTTCGTATGAAATTATATTGAGATGACCACGTTCCTGTGGACTTTTGTTGAAATGGCATTTTCCAGCACAATAACCCCCTACGTATTACAGCAGCTCTAGAAAAAGTATAGTATAAGCAGAAAAAGGCTAGTATAATTGCTTTATTCACAAAGGCTGTTTTGGAATGAAAGAAGCATTTAAAACAAAAAACATATTTAATCATTATCAATTACTTTAACTTTTCCATTATAGTACTGTATTGTATTCCTAGAGTACACACAAGCACTTTGTGGTTATTCATAGAAGATCTTAATGATCTTGTGTTTTGGGAAACATTAAGAAAGAAGAGGATGGGAGACAAACTATCGTTATCAGACATCTATTATTTAATCCAAAACATTTTACACACATGTGAATTTCAAAAATCCAATTAAATCTAGCCATTTCTGTCATAGCCAGGAAAAAAAAATTACACTTACCTTTTGTTGTTAGATCAGAGTGCCACCAACTGCATAGATTAAATTCCACAATGAACCTAAAGAAATCATTACAGTTCTCATATTATCCCACAGAATGTTTTCAAAACACTAAACTGGCAGTAGTTCGATACCATTAATCCTATTCTAAATAAAAGCTAATACAGAACTGAAATTCATGTTACTAGCATAACTCTGGGATTATCAACTATTGCTATGCTCATATTTTCACTGGGTTGTAATTTACCACTGAGAATTTATTCTGAAATTAACCCCATCAATAAATAATTGAGTTACCTACTATTAGATTATTGATCTTATTTGAAGCGTCCACTAAAATTCTCAATGCATGGCAGCATACAGTATTTTTACTGATGAACATTATTGAACATTATTTTTTCATTATGCAGAGTATTTTGACTCTAGTAAAATGCCATAGGATTATAACTGTCCTGGCTACAGTACAGGAGTACACATAAAATACTTTCTTACATTAACTCTGGAACTAAAATAATAAAACTAATTTATTTCTAGGAGCAGAAAAGATTGATTAATCAGTGTCTAATCAACTCTAATTAGATGTGTCAAGAATGCATTTTCCCATTAAAATATACTGCAATTTACTTTGAAGAATGGACTGAAATGTGTCAGTCTATCACTTATTGTAAGCGCAAAGAATATGAAAACAACATCCAGTTTGTCATATGGACATGAAACTACAATACTTATAAACACAGAAAGTTTCTGGAAATTTTTGAAGCTGTTATAGCTAGCATCAAAGTCTCATTTTGACATTATTTCTTTCCCTGATATTTACTTTGAAAGCTGCGTTTAAGATCAATATCTGCCCTCTGGAAATAGCCATTCAGTTAATCCTCCTTAACTCTTATTCCAAACTTTGATGAAAGCTCATATAATTTACAATTAAAACACAACAACTACAAGAAAAAAAAAATAGTTCTATTTGAATAAAGAGTAAATCCACTTAAATCTGCAACTCTGTGCTCTGATAAGAACAATAATGAAACATATAGGTTAATAATACAAGACACATTTTAAGGCTTCCTCTTCTCCATATGATATTTCTCTGTGATTTCTTAGGCAAGCCCTTAAAGGCAATAGTCATTACATATTAACTTGAAATATTAGATGAACTAAGCCAGGTAAAAAAATTCAGCAATTTCTAGAGTATACCTTGTCTGGCATATACTGTAAAAGGTCCATCTTAAAGAAATTCATGAAGTGACAAACAATACAGTGAATCACTGTAAGATTGCTATATTGACAACAGACCACCCTGCATTACAAACACCCAGATATTTATGTAAAATTTAACAGCAACCACAATAATAAATTTGGTTTGTATATTGTGATCTGCTAGACTTACTATGCAAAGACATACGGATATCAGTGACAACCATGAATAATGTAAAAAGGGCAACTGTGCATTCATATAGCCAAAAATTTCTCAGATTTTAACAATGCAAAATTGGAAAGAAAAAAGTAAACATTTATTACTATATTTAAAATCATATTATAGAAGCAGCACAATGTATGTAAAAAGCAAAAAGTACTAATATTCATTAATTATTCAGAAGTACAAATATTCATTAATTCATACAAATTTTCATTAAGTTCTTGATAAATTTACTTACAAGACAAGCTCGGTCATAATCCATTTTACTGCAGCAAAGAAGGCATTATAAGGCTGAAGAGAAGCAACTCATTTAATAAAAAGGCAAAAGATGCAGTATTTATATCTTAACTGAATTCTTCATGTAAAGACAAGGTTATGGATATTCAAATGCATGGGTACCATGAGAAAAAGAGCAATAACTTTTTCTTATGAAAAAACAAATATTATTATATTGAATATTAAAATATATAGTAATGACATTTCCTTTTAATGTGGTTGGTCGTATACACAGATTATCAGTTGGAAAGGAAGTTTTGCAAATGATTCTTTAATATTTAACCTCTAGGGGTTCCTATTTCCCAGGCTATTGTTGGAGGAACAGCTCTGGTAGACAATATGAGCTTTTCTTAGGCTGCAATTCACAGGCTTGCCTCTCTATAATGTAAATCCTTATTCATTACCTCAGTCCATTTAGGCTACAAAAAGCTTCTGAAGTTTGAATTTACCTAAATGAAGTTATCTGTGTCATATTGAAGCCCCAGTTGTAAGCACTTTAAGTAGTTTTTAAGATACTCCCCTCCTCCCTCTGTTTTTCTGGACCATAACAAATACAGCAAACACTTTGAAAATCCTGTATTTACAGTACTTCTACTGTATATTTTATTTTTGAAAAGAATATCGATAGGATCTTTTTATGAAAGAATTTCAGGCAGAAAAGTCAGTTTCCAGAAATTTGGAAAGGAATCTATCTTGGTCTCACTCATTTGTACTGGGGTCTCCTAGTTGCACGAAGTTTGCAGACTTTAGATTCCCTATCAACAGAGTATTTTAGCATATGCAAGAGGTCATACTGACTTTGAGAGAATTACTCAGGTATCTAAAAATCATGCTTAACCATCCTGAATCAGCACCTTACTGAAGCAGTGCCATTTTGCACAACAGTAAGTGGCCATTTAAAGTTTTCAGAGGCCACAGTTTTCTATGCAGAGCTGATAACTCACAGAGCCAATGAACTAGTGTCAGTCAGCGGCATGAAAGGCTGAAATAGCAAGCCAGCAGAACGCATAATACCCAAGACAGTACAGATTTTCACTTACTAAGGACTGTCTTATAGGAAAAGAGAAAAAGCTACAAGTTTTTCCTAGAGATTAAAAGAAAACAAAATTTCAGCCTGTGGGACATCTGATTTGTTTTCATTATGAATTAGAAAACCTGAAATTTCACAACCAAGTAATTAACTTTGCTGCATGCTTTTATTTTCATAATGTGAAATGATAAAATAATACATATAATTACTTACGAACAATACATGTTTTTTAAAAATATACTATGTATTATAAAACTATTTTAATATAAGAACTAGAGGAAAATTTAAAAACTTGATATATGTGATATAACTTGATATATATGATATAACTTGATATAATTTTTTTCAAAAATATGAATAGAAAATGAGAAAAGTTTCAAAATTGTAATGGAAAAGCATTTCATTACATTGATATAAATGCATTCTCATAAGATGTGATTTTACCAAGACACCGTTTTCCAGTCAAAGACCATTCCTTCAAAAACTGCAGCAGCTTTATTCTCTCTATGTATCTAAACGATCATTGACAGCCAAACGAATTGAGCTGGATGACTCTATGGCACTGATACATCTGCAACAAAGGGGTTCTATGGCCAGTTATCGAAGAGCTGAATAAATTAAAACAAGCAAATATGCTAAATAACAAGTTATCAATATATTTTAAGAAGCAATCCTATACTGGTAAAGAAATGGACCAGATGATCTATAAATCTAGTCCATCCCTAATTTATCGTTTTAGTCCCACAGCCTAAAAAGCTGTGATAGAAAGGGTCCAGTCCTCACACCTGTTTTCCATAATTTTGGCAGGATGTTGGTTTAGACCCGTTAGTAGTCATACAGTCTTTGACACCTAAGCTCTACTTCTATGCTGTTTAAAGTATGACCTTTTTAAAGATTCTCAGCCTTGCCCTTATATACATTCCTGTATTTGTAAAACCATAATTCTCAAAAGGAAGGACAAAAATTGGTGAAGAAACATTTTGATTTTGTAGAAACTGTACTGCATACTGCCTAATAACCTGGTCTATACGTACAAAACTGGGCATAAAACCAGGAAAAAAATACTTTTGAGGAATCTAGCCCTACCTGGTTTTAATGCAAGTTCTCTTCATACTTTCTCAGTATTCATGATTATTAGAGGTGAGTGAATCAACAGGAAAATAATAAAAAAACCACTTGAGGATTAAAGAAGAGTTTGGGTATCTTTAAAAAAATAAAGAAAGTACATGCTCGCCATGTCTCAGTGTATCCCACAACAGTTGCAGAGTGTTTTCTCCATAAATATAGCCCAGATGAAAACTGGAATAGTGAAAATCTCTTGGATTAAAGCCCACTTGTAAGAGAGAAATACTTCAGCTCTACATGCTGGGTGCTTATGCAAACCGAGCTGAAGCCCCAAGCCTTGGGATGGAAGGTTGTTGCTAAGAGTTGTAATACATTTTGAAATTTTTCATGAAAATGTGATTCACAGCATCCTGTTCTATTTCACTAATAATTTAAGTCTTATTGCACAGCCTGGTAATTGTTATTATGTCAAGATAGTCTTTTTCCAGGTTCAGGCTTTAGCGGATAACAGACTGATACGTGTAGTAAATCCAAATTTGCAGCTATTTGAAAAACATAGAGTCATGTAAATATGTAAATGAAAACATCCCAAAATGCATGTGATTATTAAACCATAGAAGCTATACATAAATATTTGGAAGTTGCCAGAACTTTGATATTTACTCAACCGTTTAACTATGCGTAGGCTTATTTTTTCTAGCTAGACCCCTGTGCATTTGAAAATACTATCAGATAACTTTTCCAGACTGGTAAAACCGGTAGAGTGTTTTGCTGCTGTCTTTACATGAGAATTTTTCACGCTAATACTGTCATATGTTTGTTAAAATGGTTCCTTTTTAAGATGCAAAAACTATATCTAACAATTTATCAGTTCTGATAGGTTATTATAGTATTAGTAAAACATATACATGATTATAAAATACCCTTATTAGCTAGATATATGATTTAGCAACAAGGAAGTGTTGGGCTTGCAAAACCCAGCTTGGCTCTAACCAAGCCTTGCAGAGGGACAGGGTTTGTGTTCAGATCTGATAGCAAGACAAGGGTTTAAATACGCATTGAAATTCTACTTTAAAAGACATCTTTAAATACTAAAGGAGAAAAAGTGATAAAATCACAAACTCGCGTGCCTTACCAATGAACCAATCTTTTAATATTAAAAAAAAAGTAAATTTTAAATTTTAATTACATTTCTGCATGCGTGTATGTGTTTACATAGAGAAAAGGCATATGTGATTACAGTCTCCCAAACAAAACGCAAGCTATTGCCA